AATACTTAAATAAGTCTTCAGGACAGTCTCAGACACACAAGCAGCACGTATAGTTTTCTAAAGGTTTGGTTAATCTTCCTAGTCTATGCCTTCTCACATGAACTGGTGCCCCCATTTACAAGGCATATAAAGGTATAATCAGCCCATTTTTCAGAAAAGTTATCAATTATTCAATGTAACATAACAAAATGGCTGCCTCTACAGCTATATGAAAGCAATAAAACATTCTTCTGCTGTTTGTATCAAACTAGAAATCTCTGAAACCAGTCATGTTTAACAGAGCAAAGGGGAAAGCAGAGCACGTTTTCTCATGCCAGTGCCTTGCAGGTCTAGTTTTGTCCTCGTAGTGAAAAGACTATGATATTCTTTATACTAAAAGGAGAAAATAAATCTATTTGGCAGTGAAAAACAATTATTACATGCTGCTAATAACGAACTAATAATGAACACATAATTTTTCAGTATCTCAATAGCTAGACATTTAAAAGAAGAAAACAATGTTTGCCATGAAAAATACAAAAGTATGAAAACTTTGAAATCTGATACTTCTAGGCCTTGCATATAGCAAAATATAAACTTGGTTACAGCTCAGGAGAATTAAAAACTCAAGTATTAAATATTTTATTTGCTGTGAAAAAGTTCTTGAAAATAACTAAGAAGAACACATAAAAATAATGCTAGCGCCTACTTGATTCTAATTGAAAACATAATTCTTTGTTTCCTATTGACTCAAAACACAAGTGCCCTCAAGTGACATTTCATTATACAATAGTCTTCTGCCTTTGTTAAAAATATATAAATATATTTTATTTGCTTTGCACAATGTTCACAGAGAATGGAAAGACATACTTATAAGCAAAAGCCAAACTTAAATGATATGGAGATTCATTTGAGAGCTTTGGCAGGAGGAAGAGTAGTTTACATTCTCCTTTTTAACTGTCCTGAAACTGCAAATTGTCAGAAATTTTTAGCATAAGTCAGAATTTACTTCATTTGCTAGCTACTCATCAGCCTTTTTTCTACAAGCTACCTCAACACTCAGGTAGGTATTTGCTTGTTCTGGAAAGAATTTCCCAGTTCTCTTTTTCAGATTATTAATCTTGCAAGTTGCTCTCCTGAAATCATGTGTCTTCTCTGTATTCCCAAAGATATATCATGCTTTCTAGGTTAGTGAATATAGAAACTTAAAAGAACAGATTTGAAGCAAATAGTATAGAGACTGATAGACCTCATTAAACCTAACATGTCTTAAACAGCCCAATATTCGATATTGGGCTGTTGTTTTTCCATAAACTGTACATGAGAAAAAACCAAATCATCTAATATGTTCTTGAAGAGCTGTAATATATTGTTATTATATACTACATATACTACAGAATATTATAATTACAACATTGTAAGCGACAGTAGAAATAATAAAAGATGACAAATGAGATTGGGGCAATTTACTCAGATTTTATACTTAGCATGCACTAAATAGAAGCAAATGCCACAACCTCAATACTGGCATCAAATGTTTACATACTATGTTCATGAAATATATAAAGCTAGCAAGTAAGTGCGACATGTATGATAATCAGATGTAGTGTTAAAGATCAAATGTTATATTCAAGATCAAGGCCATATTTTAAATACAAATTTCATTTATGCTGACACATTGCATACTCAAAAGGAAATACAGAATAAAGCCTACTTAGAAAAGGTTTCATCCTTTTTCCTTAATTTACAGCTGGTATCTGCAGTTGGCATCATAAACATATGAGTCTAGCAGAATATGCTAATATATTAATATAGAGAGCGTTGAAGATTTTCAAGAATCAAAAGTAATTCAGAGGAAAACTCATGGTTACAGAACTTGAGATAATTTTAAAAGAAACAATTTTCAAGAATTATTGGGTCTTTTCCAAAGTCTGAACGGGTAGAACCTGAAAGTTCTGTGTGATTTTCTAAAATTTTTACTTCATTAAAACTGTATCGCGTGTACTAGCAGTTACTTGGACTCTTCCTAGAAATAAGTATTTTAAAAATATTAAAAAATTGATATATTTCTTTGAAAATAAAGTTTTTATATGTTCTTATATTAGAACATACAGAAGTTATCTTTCATATGATGCTAGAATACCTGGTACTGCTGACAGAGACAGGACTGTGACTTTAGTATTCCAAAACAGCATCTAACCAAAACACGATGCCACATATACACATGCATTGCAATTAATATTGCTCTTGTAAATTTATAAACTGGAGATTTAATAGTAGTGATGGTGTAAAGAGTAACTGTAGTTAGTTGACATTTATTTAAAAAAAAAGAAAGCTCAAGCAGTTCCACAGAATAATTAGGGAGCTATGAGCTGCCTGTATCATTAGTCTTTGTACCACACACATCCTTACTGTTAGTATAATTTATCCTTCACTCCTTTTATCTGTTAAATGCACTTTAAATAACACTGTAGTCCAAATCTAAGTCTAATTTTTCAACCTAGATCCAAACAGCTGTGAATTAATGAGAATCAGAAGCTTGAAGCTTAACAAAAGATTTAACAGTAAGCTCAAGCACTGAACACAACACACGACTGAAACAGAGTTAGGAAAAGCATCCAAAGCCGTGTTACGTGGCAAGAAAGCTACAGCTCTTCACGTGTACGTAGGTGTTGATAACTCCTGGAAAAGCTCCATGGGATAGTAAGGATGACCCATATCAAATATTAAGAAATATTTGTTCATAATTGTTTCTATTTAAGATATCTAGCGTAAGGTATAAAGATAATCATTACTCTGCTTTTCTCTCTCAACTTTAATGTGTACCTGCTTAGAAGCATTTTATCTGGCAAGCATTTTCCCACCTGGACTGATGGAAAAGATTCCATCACCTGAAGAAATTTCCAAAACGCAATCTATTTTGTATGACTCCCACGGCACAGCAAACCAGAGAGTGTGATGCTATTAACAGACATTATTCATATTAAGATTCATATTATTAATCATAGCAGTCAAACACATTTTTCTAATGACTATTTAATAGCTATGCACTATAGACTAAATTCACTACTCCATATATATAACAAGTAAAAATAATCATGTAATATTCAGAAAGGAGTGATATAGTTACTACTGTTTCTATGTAAGGAAAGTTTAATTTATGCAATCTCTCACAGTCCTTATACACTGCTATTAGTTTAGGACTTCTTAAAGGCATTTCATTCAGATCACACTATCTGGATTCTGAAAATTAACTCTATTTAGATGAACCAATGAGGCAGGAATTTCCCTTTCTGACAGACATTACTTAATACCTCTTTTTGTCTCAGCACAGATCTCAGCACAGCAGCAATACTGAGCCACCAACAGTGACTCTCTATCAAATATCAACGGCTTTTGAATCAACATAAGCTGCCCTTAAGGGCAAAGTCTGCCTCAAACGACATTTTTGCACAAGTGAAATTCAAAAGTATTTTAATAAGCATAAAGTAGTATTTTTTCGCATTTTTGTGAAGAACAATCTCTTCCCTACATGCTGGGCAGAATGAGTTGCTTTTCCATTTCCCTAAAGTTTGCTATCCTTTATACCTCTTTTTTTTGCCCCCAGTCATCTTTTGGCTTCATTCACATTTTCCTTATATGCTCAGCTACACGCATTTGCCTTCAAGAGCACCATTTCCCCACTTTTCTCTGCAACCTTCTTTTCATTCAAAGTTCCCTCCCTCCTTTCTGCTCCATTTATTCTCCTGCACTTTGAGCTCCCTTTATTCTCAAAACTCTACTTCATGTACTCAGTTTCCTTTCCTTGCACTCTTTCATTTTGCAGAGGTACCTTGTAGCCTTCTATATTTTATGGTAACTTAAGGGAATATTACTTGCTGTAAAATAAACTAAAGTTTCTTCTACATATGCTACAGACATTTATCATACAGAGAATATTAGGGGAAGGTAACAATTTCTAAGACAGCAAGCTTGGGAATTTCTCTATGACAGCTTTGCCTGTGAATTTATTCTTATAGATACATTTTCAAAAACAAAAAAGTAAATTTACTATTACCACAAAGTATTTATTTCACAGAGAAAATACTGTATTTGTTCTACTGCAATTTTTCTCCAAATGTTTTGCTGAGTGATGATTTGAAAATCTTTCTTTTGCATCTTACAGCAATCTATCATCTTTCTAAGATGTTTTCTTTGAGCTACCCTTCAATAATACCAAAGGGACTTTTTCTCCCCTTGAGCCCTTATATTATCTTGTAGCTTTTAAGAGTATTAGAGTGCGTTAAGTATCTTAGAAACTTTAGTTTCCGAACTGCAAGACACGGTCTCTAAAGCCTTAACCTCTATGAAACAAACTACACTGTGAAGGGTTAATACAAACCCAAACACAAGTAACAGACTCCAGGTCACATAAAGAAGGTGAAAGTTGGAAAGCCTGACATCTATTCAATTACTTAAGAGTAGAGGGCTGCAGAAGTGATTTTCAGTACAGATATTGCTTAATCTAAGGTTAATGATGCCTTTTAAGAGTGACTCTGCTAATATGGAATATTAGCAGGTGGTATTTTTAACCGGAGATGAAGAATAGTAGACCATTAGCCTCAATCTCATGAGACAAGAGTCATCTTTTCTACTTTGTAACTGCAAAAATATCTTCATAAAACATTAGTTCTAACAACTCCTTTTTTTAATAGTTGAGAAAACAGATAAGTATCAAATTTAAGTAAAGCCTGGAACAATAAAACAAATTATAAACTGGACATGCAGAACAGTACGCAACCTTCCCCTCCCCTCCAACAGACACATTAAGATCAAACATGTATTGCAATCCACCACAAAGCTGAGACGTTAGCACCCCCAAAGAAGTTAACTCATTAAATAATAACCTTATGTTTTGATTACAAAACCCATAAGATTTATTCCTTAACAGTCTATTCATCACATTTGAGTGACTATCTCTAAGGGAGTCTCCCAAACTACAAGTGAAATAAAAGAACAAATGAAGATAAAGCTAATCTTACTTTTTCATCATCATCAGAAAAAGGGGCACCTCCGGGAGTCTTATTTATTGCCTGGGCAACACCAATGACCTCTCCATCGCTGTTCCGTATGGGCATGCACAGCAATGACTTGGTCTTGTATCCCGTCAGCTTGTCGATCTCATCATTAAAGCGACGATCCTTCAAGGGGAAACAAGGAAGTGTTAGTGTGTGCACCGTACACCCGTGCTTCCCTCAGGCAGCAATGCACTTGCTTTTCTCCATGCTTTACACAGCATTCTCAGCGGTATCATGTTGTTAACTTTCCCCTTATTATACTCATTTTTCTCAGTTAGGACACTAAGAAGAGCCTGCCTTGCTCAGAGGTTCAGGCCCACGCTTTGCTGGTACCAGCATGCAACGGTGAAGAAGAAACATGGCACCTTAATTAGGGCAATGAGCTACCTAAAGGATCACTACTAAAGTGGCCAGCAGGAGAATATGGAAAATTAAGACAAAACGAACGCATGAGGAACACATGTATAAAAAGGGAGGAAGAAAGGGATTAGGGTAGAGCCATGCAGAGGAACAACTCCAAGCAAGGCTCAAGATAGCGTTCCCGCCTTGCTGAGAGGCTTGCGAGGACCACATTTACATTGTGCCCCACTGGGTAAACACTGGTTGTCTCCATGTCGCTCCTCTCCAGGGGAGGCACCCTGCGCTCCTTCTGTGGAGGCTGCATTTCTGCTCAGCTGTAGGACGGCAGCAGCCTTTTGTGCTGCGAGGGGCTCCTCAGAGCACAAGTAAGAGACCCTTGTGCCCATGGCACCGGTTCCCTCCGACAGGCTTGTGGCTGCCCTGGCTGTGTGGGGGCTCAGCAGGCTGCCCCAGCACCAGCCAATTCAGCGGCTCACCCATCCCACCGTGGGCAGAGCGCCAGAAGGCTCCCTGCCCAGGGCACCCTGCCATAGCTGGCTGTGGGGGCTGCTGTGGCGCCTGCGCTGGGGATGAGGGAAGGAGCCATCTTTGGTAGGCCCTCGCCGCAGAGTTAGCTGGAGGGCTGGCGATTGGGAGCCTCACATGAAGTAAGGAGCGTGCCAGCGTCACACTACATCCATTAACAAGCCTCTCTCTTCCTCATCCAGGGAGCCTTTGGCTCGCTTGATCAGCAACCCACATGTGCTCATCTATGAGTCCCTCTCAGGACCCGAACATACGATTCGTGAAGCAAGTTGTGATGCTTTAACATAACCATAATATTTGTCAAGGTGCTGTGCTCAGACTGCACCAGCAATAAAGTTGGGAAAGACTCCACAAAGACTTTCTGAAGTGACCAGGCCTGAACAGAGATTTAGCCACAGATATAATTCCTCCTATCCTCCAACTAAGCCATGTGCAGCGCTAAAGAAAAAAAAAAGAAAAAACACACATGAGCAAACACCAGGGCAGCTTGAACAGTCTACAGACAGAGCAATTTTTCAGCAATCTGTAGTGTTTGAAAGGGCAAGTTTTCAGTACTGCATACAAGGACTCAACAGCACAATGCTCATTAGTACTAATGGGAAGAGAGTGACTGAATCACCACAAAAAAAGTTCACCCCTAAACTTTATGTGGAACATAGTAATTATTTACTGAAGAATTTTGTGAGATTAATTTTCTTGTAGATTTTAAAATTTTGCTGGCCAAGAATTAAGTTTTTACACTGCTGGAATACCAAATATGAAGATTTCTTTTTAGCAAAATTACTTCATGCACTTTTGTATCCACTTAGGCTTTGCACACTTTTTTGGACTATGTTAATCAATGTATATATACAAGAAGAGCTATAAATCATGACTAAGTGTCCAGTAATTCCCATTTGTCATAAAGCCTGAATTTTGTCAAAGAAAAAACATGAACACCATGGTGTGAGCTTAAATTCTTTCATACGAGTGTCAGAAATCAATCTCTTAAACATCTAACAAAGTATTAGCAGCATAGCATTTTGAAGAGTAAAGATACAATAACAAAACAATCATTGAAGAGACTCTAGTTTTTTGGGGTTTTTTGTTTGTTTGTTTTTTTTAAAAAAAGTTTGTCTAAGGCAATGTGTCTAAGGTCACCCATACTTATGAACGTAAAATACAAATAAATATATAAGAAATAAAAGTTTGCGACTTCAGTAAGTTATTCAAATTGTGTGCTGAAAATTTCCTGTCCCCCATGAAATAAGTGTTAAGCATAAAGCATTTGGTATACTTCTGTCTCCAAAGGTCATTCAGATACTGAAGCCTCTGAAGTAGTACTGATACCAAGGTATTGAAAAATTGACCGATTTAGTCTGTATTTTGACAGACCTCACTTTGTGTTTTAATCCTAGTTTGGGGCAAATTACATATATTTTAATTGCACTACAAGAGGTGCTTCATTTTCCACTGAAAGCCCAGGTACTTCCACAGTTGAAGGAATTTCAAAATTCTGCTGTAAGAGAAGACAACAGTACAGAAAACATCACTGATACAATTAGTAGTGTAAAATATATGCATAGAGAGAAAATATTAACTTTCACCTGTAATGAAATTTGATCACCTAAAAACAACACCACCCACCCACAATGCTACCACTTTATAGAACACTTTCATGCAAGTGAAAATTGATATATAGTGCTAGTTATTTGACTACATACACACACATTAGGCTATGTTGCCACTTCACCACTGTGTTTTATAGAGGGTCATGATTTCAATGTCAAAAAGACTATTTTTGTCCCAATTCTCTGCCTGGTACACTTTAAATACAGTAAACCTACTAAGGCCTGGCAAGGGAGCTAATATTCCAATGAAGTACAGATGGTTTAAAAGACATCTTAAATATCTTCTTGTTCAACTCCTATGCTTACCAGTAAATGGAGCTTATAGCACTTTTGATAATAAAAATTGAATTTTTTCTATATAAACACAGTAATATTTGAATCAAACAAACAGCTAAGAACAAACTATAAATTTTAGCAGAAAATGTCTTTCAATACATTTGACAAAAACTAAAGGGAACTAAAAATGGTCATTTAAACAAGAATTACCTGTTGGAAGAAGGCTTGACTTTTTCTTTCTATTCCTCAAACACATTTCTGAAACACCAGGTACAAGTCGCACTTTCTAAAAACTCAGTCAATAACTAAATCTATAACTAGGGAGACATCTGTCTGCACCTGACAGTTTTGACTGCACCAAGGCTTCCTTCCGTCCTTAGTGAGGGCCTTGACACAAATGGATCACTGGGCTGAAATCATTCTGCGCTGGAATAGCATAACGTAAATTACGGATCACAAAAATGATTCAAAGGAGGTTGTAAAGTCTACAAAAGCTGCTGCTAATAGCATCTTTATCTTACACTGGAATTACCTTTACTAGCTGTACCTGTTACTGCTATTAACCGTGAACAGCTCCATTCTTCCAAGGTTATGGTTGTGTTTCCACTGAAGCTAGTGATTACAGCCAGTTCCGACTCCCTTAATGTGAGGGAACGGAGCTATTGTATAAAAATAAGCAAGTCTTTCAGAAGTCTAAACAATATTGGTTGTAAAATAGTATCTGTGCGTTCTTGACTTAGGTGAAGAAAGAATAATACATACCATCCTTAACACATGATAACATTTGACTGTGAAGAGGAAGAAAATTCATTAAGATGCATGCAACCAAGACAGCACTTTCACCCCCTGGATTTTTTATTCTCAGTTTTATTTCTCTGCATTTATTTCTGCATTGCAAATACTACAGAAACAGACTGGTTTAGTCACCTCCGAAGTGATGTGCTTTAGAAGCAGTCAACACTCACTCAGCATAGAGATTAGCATACATATTTGGCTATTATGTTGCTTTTCGCATTTTTTCTTCTTATATTCTTTGAGGAGAATTAATACCAGCTGTGCTATTCTTATAGCAATTACAGCATTCTGCTGCCACAAAATACCAAGGTTGGAGTATTTTTTAATTGTAAAAATTTTCATTGCCTTAATTCTGTAATTTTATTAGGAGCTGTTCTTCCTTGGACCCATTTGTGCCTCCAGAGTGCATTAAACAGCCTTTGCTTCCACAAAGACTGGATTACCAGTGTGTGCTCTTTGATAAACCAGTGAGATGTCCTTGAATTATTTGTGCCTAACAACTTCTTCAGGAGACCCAGAACTCCCAGGATGAATGTTTTTTAATAATGGTATCCAGGGCCAGGGCCTGCTCGGTCCCGTAAGGTTTCCAAATGCTTCTGAATCTTTCCATATTAACTGCAACACAAACTGAACCAGTTCACAGAGGACCAAGCTTAGGCAAATTTTCTTCTAGAACAGTTCACAAAGTGAAATTTTGCAATTATCACACAGTAGGTCTCACCAATGGTTAAACTAGACATCTACTTCTTGATATTTGAATTATTTAGAATTGTTTTACTGAAATATTGATAAAGTGCTTTGCATTACTGAAGAGATACAGACCCCACACTGATTTTGTTCAACCCAAAATAGCATACACAGAGTGACATCAAAATGACAAGGAGTTTTGACTAGCAAAATTGTTGATTTACCTTTTATGGGCCTTAGAGATATGTTTAATCTCCAAAGTAGTATTTAACTGTAAAAGAGTAGCAGTTGGGTAGACTGAGAGTAAGCTAGTATTCATCCATTTTAACACATACAGTCAAAAAATACATTGCTCAAAAACAAAAGAAAGCAGGAAGATATATTTGTGCCTATCCAAAACTTTATTTTGTTTAGATAACTATAATGGATATTGTAGCCCAACTGCAACTTATTTTCTGTCAGTTACTCAGGAGAGTCTGTCTGAAGTTTTTCCTTCACTTACATTTTAGTAACAGGAGTAAATTACAGTTATGGAAATTTACTACAATGACTAATTATGCACTGTTGACAGTTTCAAAATGGCAAAATATGAGGAAATACCATCAGTATGCAGAATTTCTGATTTATCTGTATCTCTTTATTCTGATATGTTTTTCCATAAAATCAGCCAGATCTGTGGATCTTATTACTCAAAGTAATAGCAGGTTCAGTTTTAGGGTTACTGAGATTATACACCAGTTTATATTTTGCATCCAGATGCAGGGCACTTAAAAAGAGGGGAGAGCACTAAATGCTGGAAAGCACCCCAAAACATAAATGGATTCTCAGCACCAACAGCAATTTTAAATTTAGAGATCATCTGTGTCT